CTCCTACTCCTCCTCGGGCACTTCTCTTGCGGCTATGGTGTGAAAATTCACGTTGTGATCTGCAAAAATTATGCAATTATTTTGCTTATGCGCGACTTTCTAAATTGAACATACAAATTAACAGCTGCCTTTCATGTACAGTTAGTCGTTTAATTGATTTCTCTGCCTCTGTGCGAGTGTGTGTGTGTGTGTGTACGTGTGTTTGTGTGCGCAATTAGTGGCACTTGGCGTATGCGCAATAAATGCAATGCCTGGCCACACGCAGCCAGAGAATGGGCCTCAGCATGGGCTCTCTGGCTGCGCGCAGACATTCTTAATCAACTTTTAGATGCAACAAAAAAAAAAAAAAAAACAAGAATATAAAAAAATAAAGAGTACAACAACAAAGTGGAATTTTTACCAGCCATGAGTAGTACGAGTACGAGCAAGAGTACGAGTCGCTGCCAAAGTCAATAAAAATGTCAACACGCCAAATGTCATGTTGACAGCGGCAGACAGCGACTGTCGCTGGGAGGCTGTAGTTGGGCAGCCAGACACAATGCGCCAGCTGGGCGGGATTGGCAGGAGGAGATGGAGACGGAGATGGAGATGGAGCAAGCCCACGGAGCTTAGACGTAAGGCTGTGTGTGTGTGTGTGTGTGTGTGTGTGTGTACGTGTTTACGTGTGTTCCTCCATGTTAGCCATAAAGTTTACGGCAATTTTTATTGACAATTCAAAAATCGTTTATGACAATCGCACTAGTTGTGAGCTAGCTGCATGGCTTTTAATAAAGCTCTGACCGGGCAGACACTTGTAGTTGTAGTTGTCCCATGTACATATCCTAGATTCTGGATACAGTTGGGCATGCGAGTGCCTAAATAAATATAAAGATTAAGGGAAAAGCGAAATAACATGATATTTGATCAAGTTAAAAGCTCTCTTTATGCCCATTCTATTTTCATTAAAGCTCTTTTTATAAACATATCAATTTCTATAATATATGGAAGTTGAGTTCTACTATTCGAGTTTTGCGAGGACGGAAACTGACGAAAGTATATATGAAAAACATTAACAACAATGCATGACTACGGTGTCTAAGCGTCGAACTAACAAGCGAAATTTCGTCGGTTTAAATTCAGTTGCAATTTGCGCGAATGCATAGATGTGGGCAGCTTTTTATATGTCTAAAGATGGCGCGAGTTACACAAGCAGCTGCCGAACACTTGCATTTTCAACACAATATACTTTAGCCGACCGACGCCGGGTAATTTCATATAGCAGCATATGGAATACAGCTAATAGAGTTGACATTTATTGAAGTGTTGCCTCTTGTCTTGACATATTTTATATTTAAATGGTTTATGGTTAATCGTTGAGCCTGTCACAGGGTATTTCGCAGTCGACTACCGCTTGGTCTGTTAGCCCTAACTATGCCTGCAGCTGTAACACAATAAAACGCAACAGACGCTGCTGTTCGCAGGAGTCACAAAGGAACCTGGACAATAATTGTTGTTGTTGCCCATCGTAAAACTTACTAAACAAGTCTCACTGGTCAAATTCCAGAAACGTCATTTAAGGGACCACCTGTCGGTCGGAATAGGGGGAGAGGAGATTGGAGTTGAAACTGAGCTATGGAAAACTAGCATGTGGAAACTTTCGCCTCCACAGCATTAACCCAAATTTGTGTGCCCAGCTAACCGCATAAACTGTGAACCAATTGTTGCCTCTGTTGTTGTTCCAGTTGCTGTTGGGCCATGGCTGACATCTTGCGGCAGCCATTGAGACGTCCATCGGCGCGTCTTTGCAATTTGTCAACGCATTCGCTGTGGCGTATATAATGATCATTCATTTAGATGCCAGCCGCCAGATAAGCGGCCCAGCTAAATATAGTACAGACGATCTGGGGCCTGCAAAACTATATACGAACATATATAATGGAGATGGCGAGTGCTTAAGCTGATGTTGCCACCACTTGACACGGTCGTGCAGCTGCAAGAGGCAGCAGCAGCGACAACAGCGGAGGGGGAGGGGAGGGGTGGGGAGCAGTTGCGGTTTATCAATGGCAACGCTTTGAACTAGTTTTAGGGCGCGAAAGCATGAGCCTAGCACGAAGTGGAGGCAAATGAAAACCAAGTGGGAAAAACCAGTTTTGGCTTTTTGTTTTTGGTTCAACGACTGCCAAAGTGAGCCGCAGCCTCAAGCTGAACCCTTTCAACTGTTGCTGCTGCTGCTGCTACTTCTTCTTCTTCAACTTTATGCATTGGCCATGCAAATACAAATATTGGCAACAGCTGCCCGCAGGCCAGAATATGCCCGCATTTATTGTACACACACATGCCTCAAGGGTCTTTCATGGCGCAATATAAAAGATGTTGCGTTTTATAGCAGCAGCCAGTTTGGCAACATGCTGCCAGCAACATTGTTGCAGCAAATTTGTGCGTATTTGAGTTGTGCATTTGTGCTAGCTTCTGCCTAGCCTGGCCTAGCTCGCGGGCACTTTCCATTTTCAGCCCGCTGCTTTAATGGCTTCATAAAGGCTGGCTCCAAATTGAAACTTGGCCACAATTGCTGGCCAATTTTACGCAATTCGCCGCAGTCAACAATAAATTTGCAAATTGCAAAAATGCGGCGCGCAAATGAAAAGAAATGCAGGTCGCCAAACAGCACAGCCAACCATTTGGTCGCACAATAAATTCCGACTACAGACAGACCTCAACTGTGCAGCTCCAGCTCCAGCTTGGACTCCTGCTCGCACTCCAGCTGCAGCTGGAGCCTCCTCTCATTTTCCTGGCTGCAACAAATTTGTTGTTTAGGCACAGTTTTTGCATTTGCTTCGCTTTTCATTTGTTCATTTCCAGACCAAGCCGGTCCCCAGTTGAACAGTGTCTGCGCGGTCTAGAGTCCCAGTCCCAGGCCCAGTGTGCCAGCTCCTGCTCCACTCCCACTCCCACTCTCCCCTCATCCATTTGTTTGGCTTGTAATTTGAGTTTGAATGCGGCTGATTTGACAGCAGCCAACACTTTTGGCTGTCCGCCGTTGGCATCTGTCTCCAGCTGTGACTGCGACTGCGACTGCAACTGTGACTGCGACTGCGATTGTGAATGTGACTGCACGTGCACTGGTTCCCCTTTAGGCTATCCCACGCCAGCGACGCATTCTTTGCCCGTCCCGCAGCCCTCGGCCAGCGGCCAGCTACAGCGTTTTGCGCTTTAAAATGCAAATGTCGACGCTCCATAAAACAATGGCTGAAACTACATTTTAGCTGGTTTTAGCTGGCTGGCAAAGCCAAAAAATCTGCGCAATTAATTTGCGGGGCAAACCGCAACGACCGCTCGAATTGGCCCCGCCGCGCCACCTTCCACAAAATATTGACACATCAGCAACTGCGGCGCAGTCAGCGAACTAGAAATGGAATTGCAATCGCTAAAGCGGACGCGGATGTGGATGCGGATCCGGAAACAAAAAGAATGAATTCGCCTGGTTAAATCATCATGGCCCGCAAAAAACAACAAAAGGGCGGACACATTGTTTTGATAAAACGCCCGCATGGGCACACAAAAACACACACACACACCCACACCCACACACACACACAATCACATTTCTGAATATATCCAAGCGAAATCGTAGCCGGTTACGCCCATCCGCCCAACGCTTGCCCACAAAGTCACAGCTACAGTTACATATGCGCAGACAATGCACAGTTATCCTTTGATATGGCATGAAATGGTGCGTGCCGCGGTTGATATAAGGCGAGCATCAAATCCCCTACAATTGCAATCGTAGGTCATTTGGGATTTGTGGTAAAATATATTTCCTAGACACATTCCACTTATTCTAGTGCAGTTGCCAAGTTTTTGGATAGAGCTTTGCCAGATAAAAAGTCTTTTTACAAATTTTCTGAATGTTTATCGTGCTCAGAAAATAAAAGACCCTAGATCATGTTGTGGAAACAATCTCTTTGAGTCTTTTTGTTATAATAGCTGTCAGCTTAAACAAAGCAAACGTTAGGTAACAGTTTTCTAAAAGTTTATCATAGAAATAATAGACCCTAAGTCATGTGGAGTTAACGATCTTTCATTTTAGCATCTTTCAGTTTAAACAAAAGATTTATTTTTAGGATCGAGTTCGACTACTTTGGAAATTTTTCAAACATACTTCGCAGCATTTGAAACTTTAATACTTATAAAAGGAAACGCAAACATCATTAATAATTAGAACAGTTAGTGCCTTAACTCTAAACCAATTCAAAGCTTTTACACAGACGCACAGCAAAAGCGACCAAAACGCTTGACTTTACTGCTGCGATCGTTGCAGCTTTTAAAAGCTCACTAATACTAGTACAAAGCACCCACACACATGCACGCAGTCGAAAAGCTCGCATTATTTGCTTGCAGCGCATTTTGGGGCGCAGCTAGGATAACAATGTCAGCCGTACAACAAATTGACAAAAAGCGACAGCCCAAGGGCCCGGAAAGCAGACAACAGCAAACATGCGAATACAAATATATGCACTTATATATAGATATATACATATATATATCAGAGAAACGAACAACAAGAGCATTATGAGCTGTCGATTTGTTTGTGTAAGCGCTGTGAAGCGCATTTGTATTTTCATTTTGATGTGCAGCTCAAAAAAAAAACAATCCTTTTAAAAAACAAACTTAAATTGACAGCTTGTTCAAATTGAAAAAATGTATATATATATATTTACATGTGCATATAGATATATATGGGAAGTGCAAAACCGCATAAATCCCGCGTATTACAATGAAATAAGCGCAAAAAAAAACATTTTGTATGCGGTTTCATAATAATGATTTGGCCATGTACTGTGGGACTTAAATCATTTACCACAATTTCCCAGCAGCAGCCCGTAGAACCTTTAACCCGCCATGTAATTTGTGAAAATATTTTAATTGAGTTTAAAATTAGCCACGCCACAAAAATGCCAATAACTAAAAGCCAATCTAAATGCAACCTCTCTCTCTCTCTGTCTCGCCCTGTCTCTTTCTAGGCCCATAAGTCGCACGCCGCTAACGCAGATCTCCTATCTGCAGAAGATACCCACGTTGCCGCGCCACTTCTCGCCCAGCCAGGGACATGGCACGTTGCCAGCAATCCAGCCAGCGCTGAGCAATCTCGGTCTGCCCAGCAGCTCCTCGGCGAGCGCTTTGTATGCGGCACAGAATGCGGGCATGTTGCCCACATCGCCGCTGCCGTTGCAGCGGCACCAGCAATACTTGCCGCCGCATCATCAGCAGCTGCCCATGCAGCTGCCGCCAGCCGTGGGAGCAGCTGTTGCCGCACAGTATTCGCCCGCCGGCTCGGGCTGCTCCGGCAATGTGAAGTATACCAATGCGCAACATGGACACCAGCTGCAGCAGCATCCACATCCACATCATCAACTGTCGCCGGCGCTGTCGACACCGTCGCCGCCATCGCTGCTGCACCATCCAGCGGGCCACTGCTCCTCCTCGTCCTCGTCGGCGGCGGCAGCAGCGGCCGCAGCGGCAGCGCATGCGCCCTTTCTGGCCGGGCCGCACATGGACATGCAGCGACAGTCGCACTCGGACGATGACAGCGGCTGTGCGCTCGAAGAGTACACATGGGTGCCGCCTGGCCTGCGACCGGATCAGGTGAGTTCTCAGGCCCTTTGGGAGTTGCTTGATCTGTGATTTGTGTGCACAGATAAGCTCGGCGCGACGCGACTCGACTCCAGTCCACTCGACTTGACTTGACTTGACTTGACTTGACTTATTGTGCGTGATTTTGTCACTTAAGCCCAACGCCATGAGACCAGCAGAGCTGGTCATCAGCAGGCCATAAATCAGTCAGGCTTCATTGCTTACCTCCGAGCCGATAGCGAACGGAAACTATGCACGCAGCTCGCATCTTTGGGCTGCGATCGAGTCTGGAATCTGGCCATGGACAGCTTTTGGGCTGCCTAACGTGTGGGCCACGTTCTGGACTGTCAGCTCGCGGGCTGTCTGCATATTGGAAATTAGATTGCGCTAATGAAACCCCAAAGTCCAGCTGCGGCCCACTCGCTTGTTGGCCATTTCTCAAAGCCATTTTTATGGCCAATTCAATTCACAAAAAGAAACACAAAACTAGAAGAAATGAAAAGTATTGCCAGCATTTTGAACGTATTTTTTGGCTGCCGTTAACGCTACATAAATTATTTGCGTAAAATATGCGCCAATGGCAAATAAATCTTGCGCAATCTTTTCCAGCGGCTGCCGCGCCCAAAAGCGCGCTACTAACCATTTTTTAGGGACATGTTTTAGCTGTGACTATAACGACTATTGCTGGCTCTGGGCCTGGGCTGGACGTGGACCAGGCCCACAGGAGACGTTGGCAACTTTTTGACATGCTGCCTCAGACTCCATTCAGTATGCATAGGGTCGCGTTAATCCCGCTCAAACTGACAGCGCCTATCACATGTCACGCAGGCAGACGCTTAAATGCCCTATAAACAGGCAATCTTTGATAGTGGGTATATTCAAATTTAGGTAGTTCTAGCGGAACTTATTTGAATTCTAAGCTAACTGCTCAGAGCCAGCTGCAGCCTCAGAGAACTCAGAGTCTGTTATTTAAGCAGATAGCTCATGGCGAGATGTAGGTTCTTTTATTACATACGCAGTCTATTTTGGAATCCGAATTACCTAGTTAACGTCATATCAATATAGTAAAGGAATTACTTTAGGAATTTAGCAATTTATTAGGTTGTCATTTACCAAATTTGGCTGCGAGCTTATTTGAAATATTCCAGAGATAAAACTTACTTTTCAAACAGATTAAGGCCACACACAAGCCTTGTCAAGGTGTAAGCTAGGCAGTAATAGCGGCTACTTACATCATTACAGGGTATTTCCCATTCATTCACGCTCGCCCAGCTGGCTGCCATTGCCATTGCCAATGCCATATAGTATTTTTGGCAAACGCTACAAACAGAATTGAAAATTTATTTACAGCCATTTACGTTGACGCAGCATAAGCCATGTGTCAGTCAGTCGTCCGTCCCTCTGTCCCTCCGTCCGTCCCTCCGTCCGTCTGCCCGTCTGTCCGTCAGGCAGTCGCTTGGTTGGTTAGTTGTTTGGCAGGCAGTTGGCTGAGTGGCGTCGCGCTGCCTCAGACTGTGGTCACTTGCTGGCAGATCGCATGCTTGAATTTCACGGCAATCGGCGCACTTGAAAAACAAAAAAAAAACAACAACAAAAAATAGAAAACGTGGCCAATAAACTGAGCAGCTGAGGCGGCTTAGAAGTTGACCGTGGCAGCACGTTGCGCACCTTTCAACCTGGCCAAAATGGCCAAATCAACGTAATAAAATCAAAAGGAAAGAAAAATCTTTGGGCAGCAACCTGCTGTGTCGCAGTCAGGCGCAACATTTGACAGGCCCCCAACCTGATGATGATGATCATGAAGTTGTTGTTGTGTTTGATGATCCGTTGGGGCTGAGCCTGAACCCCTTTTATGCAAGCATTTACTTTTAGCTTAGTTTTGAGTGTGTGACCCCTGCGCATTCCATTGCAGCCAAAACTCAATTCTCAATTGGATTTCTCTTTCTTTTTTTTCGCCAGGTTCGCTTGTATTTCTCGCAAATACCCGACGACAAAGTGCCATACGTCAACAGTCCCGGAGAGCAGTATCGTGTGCGACAATTGCTGCATCAACTGCCGCCGCATGATAACGAGGTGAGTGTAGTCCAATGTCTCCTATATCCCGCTGTAATCCACTCCATTCCACGGTGTGTCCCTGGGGTGACACTGGCCCTGTCAATTTCGTGGTATTTATTCAAATGTGTGCGCGTTTTTTTGTTCTTTATCGTGATTGAATGGCCTCGTGTCCTCGCAACGACAACTCGAATTACGGCAACGGCATATCAAAGTCAATGCCAGCGATTTTCCCACACATTCTCAGACCAATTGTTGTTGCTTTTGTTGTTCCTGTGCCTTTTAATTAATCAAGGAAACAAGTGCAACTAACTGAACTGGCACCCCTGGCAAAAACCACAAAACGACAACAAAAGTAACAAAAACCAAATGCAAGAAAAAAAAAACACAGGAAAATCCAACTTGGTTTATTCGTTGCGTTAATACCCTTACATATGTAGAAAAGTTAAGTGTGACTTTAATCATAATTAAGGGAAATACCTGACAGCTTATTATTATAAAGTATAAAGTATTATTATTTTATTATTGGTTTTATTATTGTTTTTAATATGAGCATCGCCATCGTTGTTATTATTATTATTATTATTATTATTATTATTATTATTATTATTATTATTATTATTATTATTATTATCATTATCATTATCATTATCATTATCATTATCATTATCATTATCATTATCATTATCATTATCATTATCATTATCATTATCATTATAATTATCATTATCATTATCATCATTATCATTATTATCATCAATATTTATTATCATCAACATCGAAATTAGAATATCCTCTGTTAGAGTATAGAATCCTAGTTGAGCGGATTCCCACAGCTTTAAGTTTGAGGATATCAGTTACCATTTTAGCATTTTAGCATTTACCACTTTTAACCACTGCCACTAACTGGGGGTTGCCATGTTAACGAGTATCCAAGCTGACCAGTCTTTTGCAATGGGCGTGCGTGTGTACCTGTGTGTGTGAGGAGTGTGTGTGTGTGTGGAAAATGCCCAAATTCCAAGCCGAAAGTCAAATCAAATTGTGCGCTGGGGCAACAAAAAAGAGGCAGCCAAAAAATTTGCATACAACACAAACGAGACGCTGACCGCAGCCAGCAGCAGGATGAGCTGGAGGATGCTGGAGGAGTAGGAGAAGGAGCTGCTTCTGCAGCCGAACTAGAAGCTAACCCAGTTGATGGGCAGCCTTGGCTACCGTTCGCAGTCTGCGGTCGTCTGCCCTGCCCACTGGCCACTTGAGCTGCGGCTATGGCTGTGGCTGTCTCTGGCCATGACTGTTGTTGCAGACAAACAATCTGCGCCCCAAGTTGACTTCTTGGAAAGATCACTTCAGCCTGCCCACCAGCAGCAACTTGAACATATGATTTGGCTGTCTCCCTGCCTATCTGTCCCTCTGTACCTATGTCTTTTGTCTGTCTGTCTGTCGTCTCAACAAACGGTTCTTCTGTCATTTCAGGTTCGTTACTGTCACTCACTGACGGATGAGGAGCGCAAGGAGCTGCGTTTGTTTTCCACACAGCGCAAACGTGATGCACTCGGACGCGGCAATGTGAGACAGCTGATGAGCGCACGTCCATGCGATGGCGTAAGTACCTAACCCAGTTCTAATCCCCCCACCCCATCAACTCCAATTGAAAACTCTTGCAGTGCGACGAGCTGATTTCCACTGGCGACATTGCGGTCTTTGCCACGCGCCTCGGCCCCAATGCCAGCTGGCATCCGGGCTGCTTTACGTGCTGCATTTGCCGTGAGCTGCTCGTGGATCTCATCTATTTCCATCGGGATGGGCGCATGTATTGTGGCCGCCATCACGCGGAGACGCTGAAGCCGCGCTGCTCCGCCTGCGATGAGGTGAGTCTCCCGACCCACATTGACGCCCTCTTTGACCCCAGACGCATTTCGCTATAAAACCACATTCCACGCACTACACAGATTATCCTGGCGGATGAGTGCACCGAGGCCGAGGGACGTGCCTGGCACATGAATCACTTCGCCTGCCACGAGTGCGACAAGCAGCTGGGCGGCCAGCGGTACATAATGCGGGAGGGCAAACCGTACTGTCTGCTTTGCTTCGATGCGATGTTTGCCGAATATTGTGACTACTGTGGCGAAGCGATTGGCGTGGATCAGGGCCAGATGAGTCATGATGGCCAGCATTGGCATGCCACCGATGAGTGCTTCTCGTGCAACACCTGCCGCTGCTCGCTGCTGGGTCGCGCCTTTTTGCCGCGCCGTGGCGCCATCTATTGCTCGATAGCCTGCAGCAAGGGCGAGCCACCGACGCCGTCGGATAGCTCCGGCACGGGCATGTATACCACGCCCACGCCGCCGGCGCAGCGTGTGCGGCCGCAACAGACGCGCATACCCAGCAGCCACGCCTCCAGCTCGCCGCCCATGTCGCCGCAGCAGCAGCAACAGCATCAGGCCAGCTTCAATCAGGCCATGTACCAACTGCAGAGCCAGCAGCTGGCCGCAGGCGTGGCCGGCAATGAGCTGCCGGGCGGCCTGTTAGTGGCGCATGCCAAGCAGAGCTATGCCACCTCAGACTCGGACGCGGGCGTTGTCAAGGATCTGGAGCAGGTTGGGCACAATGCGGTCGCCGGTGGCGGCGGGGGAGGCGGGGATTTTACCGATTTCTCCAGCTCGCAGAATATGTCGCCGTTGAACTCGCCCGGCGACTTCCAGCCGCATCTAATGCCCAAGCCCATGGAGCTGCAGCGCGACGGTGTCTACAACTTCAACGAGATGGCCACCAATTTGGATGCAGCGTGGCCGGCCAAGCCGCCGCTGGGCGGCACGCACAGCTATCAGCTGCAACGGCAGCTGCAACAGGTCTCCAAAATGGACAACTCCATCACCTCCAGCATGCCGGAGCTGGGCGTGGTCGGTGCTCAGCACCTGGCGCACTTTGCACAGCAGCTGCCGCCGGCGCCGCCGCTGCACGCTTCCGCACAGCAGTTCCATGCGTCGCAGCACGAGTATGCGGACATATTGCATCCGCCGCCAGCACCGCCGCCGGTTGGTGAGCTGCCCGAGCTGCCCACGCCCAATCTGAGTGTGGCCTCAACGGCGCTGCCGTCAGAGCTGATGGGCTCGCCTACGCACTCCGCCGGCGATCGGTCGCTGCAAACGCCGCTGTCGACGCAATCGGCGACGCAGCCGCCCACGCATCCCGTTTCCATATTGAGCGGCGCCAGCTCCTCCTCTCCCATGAGCGGTGAGCCGACCAAGAAGAAGGGCGTGCGCTTCGAGGGCATACCCGACACGCTGCCCCGCTCGCGCAGCTACTCCGGCAATGGCGCCGGCACCAGCGGCGCTGGCGAAAGGGACCGAGAGCGGGACAGAGAGAGGGACAGAGATAGGGATAGGGACAGGGCCGGGGACAGGGAGCGGGATGTCAATCGACATGGACATGGGCACTCTTCGCGGCGCCGTCGTCGTCGCAAGTCCTCGAGCCACCATCGCAGCGGTAGCGGGCATCGCTCGCACTCGACCACGCGTGCCGATACCTATGCACCGGCCCAGCCGCTGTCCTCCTCCTACCAGGGCCCGCCCTCGGTGTTGCAGGCCAGCGCATTGGCCGAGCACGAGTCACCGCACAAGTCCCCGCGCCAGCAGCGTGAACGGGAACGCGAACGGGAGCGGGAGCGCGATGAATCCGAGGAATCGGATGTGTGCTCCACCTGTTCGTCCAGCTCATCCAGCTCCGAGGATTACATGATGATGTATCAGCTGCCGCAGAGGCGCCACTATGGCGGCGTACGCGTCAGCTATGTGCCCAACGACGCCCTGGCCTACGATCGCAAGCGCAAGCCCACAGACCCGAGCGGCGCTGACAAGGACAAAAATTGTATCATCTCGTGATCCAAGCCGGCGGCCATTTTAATTAGCGCTGATTGCGCGCCTGCCTGATAATAAATGAGGCGCCTCAAGCGCCCTTTACTAACGAAGCAGCCACCAGGTGGTCATCAATTTTCAATATATACACATACACACACATACATACTCTTACCGATACAGAGAGTGAAGCATAGCCGAGAGCAGAACTCATATCCCGCACTTTTACAAAGCAATAAAGTTCAACTTGAGATTTAAGACGCGCCTAGTTAAGCATTGGAAACTACAAATGAGATACAATACGAGAGGAAGGACTCTCCTCAATACTGTTCCAAAAATATATAGCACATCCCTAATTAAGCGAATCAAACTAAGATAAGTCCTATATATATATATATATATATGCATACCTATTTTTATATGCGATGAATACTCTTAAGGCAAGAGAACTATATAATTAACTTATACCTACAACAACATATACATATATATATATATATATATATATATATATATATACTACATATATTTACAGATTTGTATTTATTGAAATTAAGTTTTATGCAGCAACTATTTACACACGATCAACTTTTAATTAACTGACTTTTAGTTCAGTAGGAAAAAGCCGTTGCGATAAGATTTGGCTAAAGAAACTTACAATAATTCTAGACTAAGAACTAATTTGTACAAGACCCTATGAATAAAGAGTTCAAAGCAAAAACTATTGAGAATATGAGAGACTGCAAGCACGAAGCCCTAGACAATATTTTGTCTAAAAATGAAAATTAATGTAAGCTAAATACTTAGTTATATTTTATTTAGAATTACACAGAAATTGTTATCAAAGATCTGTAACATTTAACCCCATTTCCTATCAATTCACAGCGGTTCGTTTATTTGTTAAACATTCCCTCCTTTTTCTTTAAGAATTCCCTTTGAAATTGATTTTTTTTTATGATTTACTCGACAAATATTTACACAATCTTTTACCCAAGCTTTCGCAGGCACCTTGATGCCAATTATTTGAGCCAACAACTGGATCAATCCTGAGGAGGGTGGCAGCGCTGCAGACTGAGGTAAGCTTAAACCAGATTAAGAAGTGGGCTAAAACGGGGGTGGCTGTCAGAGCTGCTGTCAAATGCGCTAGTCAAATATTGAGACAGCGAAACAGCAAGCGCTCGAATAACATTTAAGCTCAAGGATAAACACGAGATACGGCAGCAAAAGTTGTGGCAACTGGCGGAGCTGCCTCTCGCTTGATACAGGCAGGTTATCTTTAATTATGCATCAGATAATGAATATAAATTAGGCGCATGTCGAGCAACAAACTACCAGAGGCAGCGGCATCGGCAGCTACATGGAAATTAAAATCGAAAATAAAACGATGGCATTTTTGTGCCTCTGCTAATAACTTGCCCGCAAATTATGGCAGGGCAGCTGGGGCTGGAGCTGGGCCTGGGACAACAACGTGCAACGTGCAACAAGCAATCACATGCAGGCATGCAACTGCAACGCTTTGCTGCAGGGCGTAATTAGCCAATAAAGCAAGGCACTTCTTGTCAAGTGGTGCAGACACAGGGGGCAGTGTTTGCTGCTGCTGCCGCCGGTTAGTGGCCACTTCTGGTGACCATCATTAGAGCAATGTTTGCATACATGTCAATGGGCCCTGAGTCCTTGGCATAACTAGTTGCCCGTTTGTCGCCAGAAGATGGAGCCCGGCTAATGGGCGCTTAATAATACATGCCACACACAGCCGCAACGCCCCGTCCAGCGTGTCAGTGGGGTGGAGGGCGTGGTCAAATGAGCATCGATAGCTGTTTGTGGCACCTGCATGAGGCGGAGCGCGATACTTTCGAGCGATAAGCGCAAAATTGTCTGCGTCTGGCATTGATAAGCCAAATGACTTGGCGTTAACGCACACAAAAGGCGCCCTCAAATGTCTGGTCAAGTGCGAGGGGGTGGCGGTGCGTTGTCTGGGCCAGCAGCTGCGGGTACGCGCTCAGCTCGCCCGCTATCACTGCTCCGCTGCCCCCTAGCCAAGTGCAGAAGTTTTGCAATTGTAATTTTGTAAAAGTTTCCTTGGCATTGCATTTGCCCAGATAGATTTCTGTTGTTAGCTGCCATTTTGCGTTATAATCCACAACGGTTGACAGCTGCACCACCCAACCACACGCTGCTTTGTCCCCGATGCGTGCGCCTTTGTGTTTTATTGCATGTCATTTCCGTTTCCTCTGCCCGCTGCATACTTCTGATGATTGGTCTGCCGCCCGCTGCCCGCTGCCCGCTGGTCACTGTCTGCTGTCTGCCCGGCATCCTGGCTGCAGTGCCAGCCATTACGTTTATCCTGCCACACACACACACTCAGACACAGTTGTACATCAGATATGGCAAAATTTATATTCGCATTTCCGACGCTCATTTTTATCAAGCCCGAATAACCAAACCAAAACCACACACACTCTTACATACACACACTCACATACATACACACACAATCACACCACGTACAAATTGTAAACGTGCAACTGCAGTTATTATGAGCTGGACACACAAACAAACAATTCTCCACACACGCACACGCACCCAGCCAGAGCTACTTGTGTATCCCATAAGGAATGTCACATACAGACACACACACGCACACACACACACACACACACACACACACACACACATACCACATCCGCAGCCAACTCGAACTGGTGACATTTATTGTTGGTGCTGGCTGCAGGACATTTGGCTACTGGCATTTTTGGCTGCGCTTTTGGGCACCGATTGTCTCCGCGCGGACATATGCATTTTTAAGCGGCGGAGCTATGTCGCTTCGAAACAACATAACTCCGCCGTTGATCATGGTGAGATTATGTCGTTCTGCAATTTTTCTGATTTTGGGTCATCTCTTAGAGATATGACGTTCCAAAACGACATAATCTCCGCCGCTCTAAAAACTTCATACGTCCGCCTGGAGATATGTCGTTTCAAAACGACATAATTTCGCCATGATCAACGGCGGGGTTATGTTGTTTCGAAGCGAAACATTCGACATATCTCCGCGCGAAGGAACCCCGCCGTTGATCATGGCGAAATTATGTCGTTTTGAAACGTCATATCTCCAACGGACGTGTGAAGATATTTTTTGGAAAACTTTAAATGGCCATATCTTGGCCAAATGAAGCCCGATTGATCTCAAAAAGGGAGGGGTTACTCATGGAGGTCCATAGAATCGAATGCCATCCACCTTTTTCGGTTTCAGAAAAAAGTCATTTTTCGAAAAAAACGTTACACTGTATTTTTGGTCATTTTGCGTGATCTCTTAGAATGTGGATTTTTGGGTGGCAATCGATTGTCGGGATCCGTACGAGTAGAAAGAGGTATATCATTCCTAAATCGGACTGTATTTAGCCGAGTTATTTCCATTTTAATATTCAATCAAATTTTGCTGCAATGTGTTTATTGTGAATGGTTATTCTATGGGCGGCCCAAAAGTATGCAGTAGAACAGCTACTCTAATCGGCTTAAGCGCTTTTATATGAACCGCTCGAAAGTATGCAATGCTTTGCTTAACTTCTTTGTCCACAACCACACGAACCTGGAGATATGTCGTTTCAAAACGACATAATTTCGCCATGATCAACGGCGGGGTTATGTTGTTTCGAAGCGAAACATTCGACATATCTCCGCGCGGAGGAACCCCGCCGTTGATCATGGCGAAATTATGTCGTTTTGAAACGTCATATCTCCAACGGACGTGTGAAGATATTTTTTGGAAAACTTTAAATGGCCATATCTTGGCCAAATGAAGCCCGATTGATCTCAAAAAGGGAGGGGTTACTCATGGAGGTCCATAGAATCGAATGCCATCCACCTTTTTCGGTTTCAGAAAAAAGTCATTTTTCGAAAAAAACGTTACACTGTATTTTTGGTCATTTTGGGTGATCTCTTAGAATGTGGATTTTTGGGTGGCAATCGATTGTCGGGATCCGTACGAGTAGAAAGAGGTATATCATTCCTAAATCGGACTGTATTTAGCCGAGTTATTTCCATTTTAATATTCAATCAAATTTTGCTGCAATGTGTTTATTGTGAATGGTTATTCTATGGGCGGCCCAAAAGTATGCAGTAGAACAGCTACTCTAATCGGCTTAAGCGCTTTTATATGAACCGCTCGAAAGTATGCAATGCTTTGCTTAACTTCTTTGTCCACAACCACACGAACCTGGAGATATGTCGTTTCAAAACGACATAATCTCCGCCGCTCTAAAAACTTCATACGTCCGCCTGGAGATATGTCGTTTCAAAACGACATAATTTCGCCATGATCAACGGCGGGGTTATGTTGTTTCGAAGCGAAACATTCGACATATCTCCGCGCGGAGGAACCCCGCCGTTGATCATGGCGAAATTATGTCGTTTTGAAACGTCATATCTCCAACGGACGTGTGAAGATATTTTTTGGAAAACTTTAAATGGCCATATCTTGGCCAAATGAAGCCCGATTGATCTCAAAAAGGGAGGGGTTACTCATGGAGGTCCATAGAATCGAATGCCATCCACCTTTTTCGGTTTCAGAAAAAAGTCATTTTTCGAAAAAAACGTTACACTGTATTTTTGGTCATTTTGGGTGATCTCTTAGAATGTGGATTTTTGGGTGGCAATCGATTGTCGGGATCCGTACGAGTAGAAAGAGGTATATCATTCCTAAATCGGACTGTATTTAGCCGAGTTATTTCCATTTTAATATTCAATCAAATTTTGCTGCAATGTGTTTATTGTGAATGGTTATTCTATGGGCGGCCCAAAAGTATGCAGTAGAACAGCTACTCTAATCGGCTTAAGCGCTTTTATATGAACCGCTCGAAAGTATGCAATGCTTTGCTTAACTTCTTTGTCCACAACCACACGAACCTGGAGATATGACGTTTCAAAACGACATAATTTCGCCATGATCAACGGCGGGGTTATGTCGTTTTGAAACGACATATCTCCGCGCGGACCTGTGAAGATATTTTTTCAAAAACTTTAAATGGCCATATCTTGGCCAAATGAAGCCCGATTGCGTTCAAAAAGGGAGGGCTAAGTCGTGGAGGTCCATGTATTGGCATTTTATTGATTTTTATATTTAAGCAAATGTTGCTCCGTCCCTTTAATGAAATGGGATGCAAATGTAGCTAGTCCTGGTTGATCGCAAGCCAGTTGAGATAGTTGCGGAATGGAAACCGAACTCAATACCAAGCTGTAATAAAATTTGCTTCAAGTAAATTTGACGATTTGTTTTGTGATCTAGCTTTAAGTTCCGAAATTTAAGTGGCATTGCATTATATCATAATCTACTTATTTCCGCTCGGTTCCCTGCAGTTAATCATAATTCATATGCAAATATTTGCAAAATACCAAAATTTATGATGTCTGCTGCAAATTGATGAAATAACTAAAGTACATATTGCACAATTGCATAGCAGAAATGTTATTAACTCACCCAAAAAAAAAAAATATATATATATATATATGAAAGGCCAATCCTCTGCATCCTATATTCCATATTCTCCTATATTTATCCTACGGTCCCCTAACCCTTGTTGCGTGCTAATGGCGTTGCCTGCAGCAATTGTTTACTGGCCCATTAATTAATACAAATATAAATTGCCAATATGGAGTGCGTGCTGTTTGCACAACAACAATAACAATAACTACGACAGCCTG